TCTAGGGCCTCTTTATTATTTTCAATCTTTTTGAGACTGACAGCGTTGACGTCAGGCACATGTCGGCCTTTCTTCATAACAGCCGGTGGAATCTTGGTCCCTTCAAGCTGAATGAAACGCAAAAAAAAGATAAATTACCAACTTATCCTTCTACTAAAAATTATAACTAATATTTTAAACAAAATTTAACAATTAAATAATAATAACAAACATTTTTTTGAGAAAGAGTGGCTGACGCGCCAGAGAGCTCCGTAGTTGATAGGGACGAGTTGATATTTTTCTCAACCCGCGTCCTATTGAATGCAAACGAACCACCTCTAGGCCTATTATTATCGTTGTCGTCGTCGCCATCCTTCTTTTCGCTTCTAGCAGGTGCATTTTTTTCTGGGAACATTTTAAAAGATGACTTTCTCGTCATGTTAGAAAACTCTGCTGAAACCTTGTTTGCAGAAGTAGAAGCAGCTGCTGTAGAAGCAGCAGTAGTAGTAGTAGAAGTGGTAGTTGTAGAATTAGTGGTAGTAGCGTCGTCGTCGTTAATGTTAGACGGCAGCGACGCTATTGTTTTTCGTTTTTGTGTAATTTCTTCTAGGCTAGGCGCAAAGAGATTTTTATTACGCTTCATGTTTGAAACAAGCGGAACAGTCTTTTGGGATGTAGCAGTTGTCGTTGCATGTGGCTGGTGGGCAGTTGGTGATTCGCGACTGACTGAGCTCTCTTTAAACGCTGTTAGATGCGGTGTTGCTGCTACAGTCGCTGTTGATGCTGCTGCAGTCGCTGCTATTGTTGCTGCTGTAGGACCGTCAGAATAATTATAATATTCTTCATGAGTAACGTAACTCAATATCCAAACGATCATAATAATGCTAACACAACCACAATAATAATATCAATAAATAATAATAATAATAATAAAAACAACAAACCAGTGTCAAGGTCGAAAGATCTCCTAGCAGTGCTATCGCCACCAGCGTCTGCAGCGTTTAAGAGATTAGGATTAGAGCCAGTTGTTAGTGACGACTTGCTGCTTCTGTGTGATTCCTCATCAACTTCTGCCAGGATATTCTGCGTGCGTGTACGTGTGTGTACGTGTGTGTGTGTGTGTGTTTGAGTGAGTATGTGTGTGCGTGTATGTGTGTGTATGTGTGTTTGCCAAAGTACCAAAGAAACCGCAAAGAAAAATGAGATACAAACTGGCATTGGGGACAATCTCTGAGACACATAAGTGATCGGCCTCCTGTTTCTTGGCTTGATCATGTTTCTAAATTTAGCGCCAGAGTGCTCTAGAATAGGCTGCTGCCGCTGTACCTTGTTCAAATCCACGATGACGTCATTTGTCATCGAAGTGGGAGGAGCCAGTGACGCGGAGGGTGGTTTTAGATCTGTGTGTGCGCGCGTGTGTGTGTATGTGTGGTGTGTATGTTTGCTCGTTTCTAATTAATAATAAAATGATTATAGTTATTATTATAAGTAGTATTAATACAATTAATAGTTGCAGAAATGGTAGAGATAGTAGTAGTAGCAGTAGTAGTAGTAGCAGCAGCAGTAGTAGTAGCATCAGTAGTAGTAGTAGTGGTAGTAGTAACAAAATGAAAAAATTATTGATAAACAATCAACTCATCATCATTACCTCCATCGAAAAATTTCACTTTTGGATTATGAGAGAACTTTTGGTTGAAGATATCCTGAAAAAAATTGAACATACACACACATACATCCAAATACATACATACACACACACACATACACACAAATACATACACACACACGCACACATACTCGCACACACAATCTAACATCGTCCAAGTTATCTTCACTAGAGTCTTCTGAAAGCCTGCTATGACCACTATCAAAGCTTGGCCATTTTTTCGTCTTGCTCTGAAAATAAATACAAAGGGGGCGGAGCATGTATTAGAATCACGAATAATTATGAGTAATTATGAATGACCGTGAACAATTACAATATTAAAATTATGAATAGCATATTTTAAAATGCAAAAGTTAAAAAAAACATGAGACACTTAATCATATCATACTATTAATAATTCAAACTAAAATACAAATTAAAGATGTAATCATCACCCTCATACAAAACATCAACGCTAGTGGTGAAGAATAACAAGCTGACTAACTGTCGCATCTGTAGAATTGATCAACAACAACTACAACAGCCACAACAACAACCACAACAACAACTACAACAGCCACAACAGCCGCAACAACAGCCACAACAACAAACCTTTGGCTCATTCTCAAGAGCATCATCAGGACTTCGTGGCAAGCCATCATCATCGTCGTACTTCCTTCTATTCTTGTGGTTGTTGTTGCTACTGCTGCCAATACCCAATATCTCGTCATCCGAACAGGATAATTCGCCCCCAGACATCTGGTGAAGAAAAAATAAAATACATACATACATACATACATACATACATACATACACACATACATACATACATACATACACACATACATACATACAAACAAACAAACATACATACACACATAAATACATAAAAAAAATATATACTTCATTAGCTGTGGACTTGACCAAATTTTTATTAAAAATAGAATTTAGTTGTTGCTTTATTGGTTTATTATTATTGTTATTGTTGTTGTATTTGTTATTGGTATCATTATTTAGTTGTCTTTGTTGTTGTTGTTGTTGTTGTGGTGGAGGTGTTGTTATATCTATGGAGTTTGACGCAAATACGCTTTCAGCAGATTTGCTCATTCTATTCATTGGCAGCTTCGTATTTTTCCTGTAACAATAACAACAACAACAACAATAACAACGACAACAACAATAATAATAACAATTTTTATTATTATTATTAATATAACAAAAAAAGAGATTAAATAAACTACTTTATTTTTTTTCAATGAAAAAAACGTAACAGAATCGATGATGACACAGGATTTAAAATAACGAATGAATGATCAACGTCCAAATAAACTTAGAGGCACGCACGCACGCACACAAACACACATACACACGCACAGACACACAGAGATACTGACACACACACGCACAGACACACACACGCTGACATAAAAACCTCTAATCAATATGTGTACATACAGTATACAATGTATTGTTGACAAGATGAATAAAAAAAATCAACCATGGTCGTCATCATCATCATCATCATCTTCGTCGTCATCATCATCACCATCAACATCATCATCATCACCATCTACATCATGATCATTATCAGTAACAACGTTATCACTACCATAACCCGAGGCAGCAGTACTATCACCACAACAATTCACAGGTTTTTTTTTATGGTACAGGCTTAGACAAATACACAAAAAAGGACCCACACAAACACACGCACGCACGTACACACACACACATACATACATACTTTTAGACAAACATATATACAAAACTATATAATCTACCTTTAGCACAAGAATACATAGATACTTAGATACACACACATACGCGTGCACACACGCACACACACACACGCACGCACACGTAGGTGCGTATGTAGGTAGGTAGGTGCATACTTACATTGTATACAACACACTGTCAATAATTTGGTTGGTTGGTTGGATGGTTGGTTGCCAATGGCGATGTAATAACAAATATAAAAATATATCAATAATAATAACAACAACAACAACAACAACAATAATAATAATAATGATATTAAAACAAAACCAAAAACAAAAATGATAAAGATAAACTGATCATGAAAATAACAAAATAGCCATTGGCAAACATGTACACAAATATACCTATCTACCTACCTACATACCTACATACACACACTCACAAACACATACTCACACACACTCACACACACACACCCACACAGAGAGAGAGAAAGAGAGAGAGAGAGAGAGAGAGAAACAAACATACATTCCATTATATGTGGCCTATATACAACCTCAGATCACAAGATCCAGCTTACATTAGCATTAGTATGATATATTTCAACATCAATAAAGAATTATACATTTGCGCGCGCACACACACACACACACACAAACAAACAAACAAACAAACATGCATACGTAATAGAGAAATACATACAGAAGCACACGCATAAACATATATACAAAAAGCTAGAACAGGAAACTTCACAAAAACAAACACGTATAAATTAATTTTGTTGGGTACCAAGTGAAAGCTTTAACATGTATGAAACATAAAACCAGCCAACACTTATCATTTCAACAATCATCAATCAAACAACAATAACAACAACAACAACAACTACAACCACAACCACAACAACAACAACAACGAGTAACCCACTCGTCAGTTGGAGTAATAATCATAGGAATGGATGAGACCATATCGGCAGTTGATGACGTAATTGGATTGGCCAACTTCATCATCATCATCCGAGACGGGCCAGCCGCAGAGTTCAGCATGGAGAAGTTATCCTCGAACACTTCCAGAACCTCCTCTGATTCAGACGTTCTGGAAGCTGCTGTCGTTGCGGTCGTCGGTCGCTTCGGGGTTATCAGCTTCTTGAATATGTTGATTGATTTTTTCTTCTTTAAATCTTTGCCCTCTGTGTATGTGTGTGTGTGTGATTAGTCGGTCGGTTGGTTGGTTGGTTGGCTGTGGGTTTTACACACACACACACACACGCACGCACGCACGCACGCACACACACACCTACATATGAAATAATAAAACTTGAATATTGATAACACTCAACCAAGCCCTGCTAAGAATTTATAACCAAACAAACGAACAAATAGACTAATTAGAAGAAATGTCTATGAATATTAAATAAAATTAAATATGTATATAATTATTTGTAGTTATTATTATTATTGTTAAATATTATTGTTATTACTATTTTTATTTGCACAATCTTAAAACACACACACACACATCTTAAAACACACACACACACACACACACATATCTATAAGCAAGCAACTCATGATTAGTAAATAATGATTAAGATCCAATCATTATATATGTGAGTGTGTGTGTGTGTGTAAGAATAATGATAAGATAGAACTAAGATAGCTAGAGAATATGTGAGAAAAAAGTATTGCAGTGAGTAATCCAATTAAAATTTATAAATTTATGTAGAAAAATCGTATCTCTTGTTAAATAATAATTTTTATAAATACGCACACACGCACGCACACACACGCACACACACACTCTCTCTCTCACACACACACATTATATATTTTAGTATGCGTGCCTGTGTGTCTGTGTGTATGTCTGTGTGTAAATATTGGAGTCTCATGTTGTACTTATGGGTGATCGCATTGAGAAGAGGGATAGTCTTAATACTCTACGACCACATGAAACACTTGATATTTTCCATCCGTGGTGAATCGTGTTAAACGTTAAACAGCAGAGGCATACGTCTGGAGGAGCGTCAGATCTACTGACTTGTACACGCGATTTGTACACTCTCACTGAAGACTAAAAACCGACTTTTTTCTGACAAAGCCTTACGCATTATTGAAACAATATTCAAAACAGTGACGAAAATTCAAAGAATCTTTGGCGTGTTGCCAACAAGATGTTGGCTAAAAGTTCAAACAAAAAAAATTTTTTTTTTTTGAATGAATGACAAAAAAATTTCGGCAAACAATTTACTTAACGAAGATAACTCTCAGAAATGTTGATCAGATTTTACAATCTATTGAAGATAAAACTGCAAGGACAATCGAATCGAATCGAATCGACAAAAGGCACATCCTGATACTCGGCTGCTTCAAGATACCTCGATGTTGGATAGACGATGTACGTTCTCTTACTTTCAGTTTGTTGCTGATGGCCAGGATACTTGGATTCGTTTATAAGTTTTTCCGACGAGTTTCGCAGACCTCTGTTTGTCTACGTGTCGGTGAATTTCCATCCAAATGTATACATGCCATGATCCAACCAAGTATCAATAATGATAATATTGATAATAATAATAATAATAATAATAATAATAATAATAATAATAATAATAAAAGAAATAACATACATAATAGTATCAACACGAACGAATTTTTAGAAAAGCCATTCAATAAATCATTTATTTATTCGTTGATTCGCTCAATCATTGATTCTTTCGCTCGTCCATTCGTCCATTCATTCATTCATTAGTTAATAATTCATCCATTTATTTATTTATTCATTCATTCATTGAATCATCCAATCTATAACAGCAACATAATCTTCGTTAACATCAACAACAGAATAATACTAACATCATCAATTATCAATATATTCTCGTAAGTGAACGAACGTACGAACGAACGAACAAATAAACGAACGAATAAACAAATGAACGGATAGACAAAGAAATATAAACAAATTTAAGCAAAAAAATTATCAGAATAAGATTAACTTCATTTAATTTTAAATAAAATTTATTTAGTTTAGCCCACAAAGGCGTATATCAATTAAAAATATAAACTATGCAAATCTATATGTTATTGAATTATATATATATATATTTTTACAATATTCTATAAATTCTATAATTCAATATTCTATAAGTGTAAAAATTATGGTCTATTACCAACATATATATATATATATATATATATATATATATATATATATATATATATATATGTGTGTGTGTGTGTGTGTGTGTGTGTGTGTGTGTGTGTGTGTGTGTGTGTGTGTGGGTGTGTGGGTAACTTAGTAGCTTACATCAAGAGTACTTGGACTTTATCTATTTAATAAGAAAGAATATTTTGAAAAAAAAAAAATTCTTCATCATACAATACTTGAAAATAAGACGTGACGATGATGATGATAATAATAATAACAATAATAATAATAATAACGATAATAATAATAAGCCAAAATACTATTACTAATACTTTTGCTACAACTTCATCCAATAGTTATAATTCTGCATTGTGTAGAGGGATTATGATAGTTATGATGCGGAGGAGATCAGCATTCTTCTAGCCCTTTACAAGTTATAACTTTCACTCATTCCATTCTTCAATCAATCTATTACTGATTCAGCATTCATTCATTCATTCGTTTCGTAGCGTTTTTCATATAATCTCACTTTCATATTTTTTACGTTGAAAATAAATACGTTTTTCACCGATCCATTAGATTCTTCATTCACTCATTCATTCATTCATCCATTCATTCATTCATTCATTCGTTCGTTCGTTCGTTCGTTCGATATACGTTTCACACTGTTTCACGAATTGGATTTTATAATTAAACTTTCACATTTTATATCATCCATTTATTAATGGAAGCATTATTCATTCATCCATTCGTATTCTCGTTCAATCAACCTACCATTCAATCATTCATTCATTCAGTTGTTCATTCATTCATTCGTTCATTCATGCATTCATTCATTCGTTCATTCATCTTTTCAAGTGTCAAACTAGAATGTAGATATTTGATTGTCTCATTATAAACATTATTTCCATAAGGTAAACATCTCATTATTCATACATGCATTCGTTCAATCATTCATTCTTTTGTTTATCCATTCATTACTTAATTCATTTTTTCCTTCATTCATCCACTTATTAGTCCATTCATTCGTTCATTCATCCGTCAATCTATCATTTTTCCATTGATTTTCATACAGTCTGTTACAGCACACACCACTAAGTCATTCATTTACTCAGTGTCATTCATTCTCATCTTCCACTCATTAACTTATTCATTCATTCATTCATCATTCATTCATTCATCATTCATTCATTCACTCATTCATTCACTCATTCATTCATAATAACAATATAATAATATAAAATAATAATTTTCAAACCTTGATTCAGAAGTAAGGTGTTGGGTTTGTTGGCATTAGCCATTTGATGTTATTATTATTTATTATTATTATTAATTATAATTATTATCTTCAGCAACCTGCAAATTAGAATAAATATATATATAAAATCTCTTATATATATATATATATATATTATATATATTATCTGATGGTTGATTGTTGCGCTACTTGCATGCAAATGGGGCATATATATAATCTCTTTAATTCTTTTTGCATTTAAACCCAGCATCTGCTAGAACAATGGCAGGTAGCTTAACCATTACACTATTACAAATATTGTTATATATATATATATATATATATATATATATATATATATATACATATATATACATATATATATATATATAAATTGAAGTAGTAGAAGTAATAGCAGCAGCAGTAGTAGCAGTAGCACAATTAGTAGTAATACAATCTTTTACTTTATATCCATACTAAAACATAATTAAATTTTAACTTGTATAATAATAACTTTAATAATGCAACTTTACTATTAATTCGACTTAACCTCATAAATGAGCAACTGTTATATTATATTAATATTTATGAATGATTATTATTTTTATTTTATCATATAACAATTATAGTTATGTTTATTGTGACATTATTTGCAATACATGCAGCGCCAAGCAATGAATAGAACTTATTGTTGTAATGTAATGGATAGATTAAAATTTTAAAGATTAAAACTAAATAAGCTACAGTTTTATTTTAAATGTGTGTCTGTGTGTGTTTGTGCGTGTATGTGTCTGTGAATGTTTGTATGTATGTCAGTATGCCTGCCTATCTTTGTATGTAAGTGTCTCTATGTTTGTTTGCTGTTCAAAGTAAAATGAATTGTAATGTGTGTATATTTAATTATTTATGAATGTGATTGTGTACAAAGTAAAATGAATATGTGATGTTTGTTTACTAATCATGGTTTGTTTGTCCTGATTTCCCCAAAATATGTCTCTTAACTATTTTATTTAATTAAATCTTTAATAGCCAATAAAATGTCATTTATTAATGATTTTAGTGAAAATTCAATTTATATTAACCTCAACCAGTAAAATTATAAATAAACAATTAATCAATTAACTAATTAATTATTATTAAAAAAATTAATTTAATAAAAAAACAATAGACCTCAATCTCAAAATTCTTTTAAAACTAACTGTAACTGAGCATAACACAAACCTACCCTAAATTTATACTAAATATCATTTCAAACTTAAAATTATTTTTTATTTTATAAAAAAGAAATTAATTAGCAATACTTTTTAATTTTATTCTTCTGAAATAACTTTGCTAGCTTTTAAAACACCTGAAAAAATCTTTAATTACAAAAACGAACAAATCTTTCTTGAAATTTAATTTAACGTCAATTGAAACATTAAAAATCGAATCAATCTTTCTTCTTTTAATTTTAAATTCTAAAAAAAGCGAATTTAGACAGAAAAACTCTTGGACAACCACAACAAACCAACGCATATACATTAACCATCGTAACTAACAGACGTCATGTTTACCATTGTGGTTTTTTATGGAAAGCTTTTTCTATAAATTTACAATTCATCATAAATTTTTTTTGATGTTTGTTTAAATATACCTTTATTTTACACAAAAAAGCAATTGCGGAAATCAATTTTTAAAAAATTAATGCAATATGTACGCAAACAAAATGGTTATTTTGGAAAAAAAAACCTGAAAAAGAACCTCAAAAATACTGTTTGAATTAATTTTTTGGCGTATTTTTCACCAATAAGCGAGCAGATGGTAGATCAAAGTGAAATAAATACATCTTTCATAATTAATTATCAAAAATATTACACCTATACAAGATCAATCAACTATAGAGCAATCATTCATTTAATTGCTTTTGTTTGTAACAGTCCGTAGTAATTATTTAATTATTATTTTATTTGACCCACTGATTATAATTATACCCTTCACAATTATAGATCACACACACACACACACACACACACACACACACACACACACACACACACACACACACATCCCTCTGAGTACTTTTATTTCACAAATATCACAAAATTTAAAATCACAATCTAGCATAATTAGACAGTAACTGTTGAACCATTAAAATACTATCAACAAAATCATCGACAGCACAGCCATGCCTTTCATACTGATGAACATATGTCCGATTTTCAAACAATTTACACGTTTTTTCTAGCGCTTCATCAACTATATACATTTGATTGACGTCATTATAAGCTAAAAGTGAACTCATATGCTGATTAAATATTGGCCTTTGGTGATGCTTAAACAAAAAACCGTTTGGCTGGTATATTGGATAAGAAGATTTCAACTTTAAAAATTCATTTTTTACGGCTACTTTATTGTTATTATTATTTCGTTTGCTATTATATTTATTATGACTGTTGGTGTTGTGGTTGTTGCTGAGACTACATTCAAAGCCTCTGTTGATCAAGATGTGGGCAAATGCCTTGCTATTGTTCAGTGTTCCGTCGTACTTCAATTGCCATTCAGGGTCTGAGGTTGAGTGATGACATTGGTAATTCAATTAAAATTTATAAACAACTACAATAATGATAATAACAACATTAACTAGCTATAATAATAATAACAATAATAATAGTAATAATAATCATAGCAATCACACACAATGACAACAACAAAATCAAAAACAAATATTGCAAACCAAACTGGTTGCCAGGCGTCGCTTGCAAATTATACAGCCGACCTAACTCTTTCAAAGTGCTGGCCCAACTGTAAACCGTAAACGGCCTAATTAGGTCACTAACCATCGGCGAGGTCATCAGTGACGTCATTTTGAGGTCGGGGTGGGGCGTGAGGTGATTGATGTAATCGCCTGTTTGTTAGAATTATAACTTCTTTCTATAGTTACAGTAAAGACTTTAAAAGTAGCGAGAGTAACAATGAATGACCTAGGCAATCATAAGAGCCAATTAAGCCATCCGTAAATGACGGTAAGAAGGCATGGACTAGATTCATTGAAATCAGTCTGTTGATATCTGAAAGAGAAACCTGTACGTGCGTGTGTGTGTGTGCGTGTGACACGATCCATTAACATCAACATCCATAATTATAATATAATCAATAATAATTATTATTCACTAACCTTAGTTAATCCTAACTGCAGCTGACAGGTTTTTTGCATTCCATCATTACTGAATGCAACGATAGAGTCGACAGCCTCGTAAATATGTGCTAATGATAGGATAGAATTGTAACTCTGTACAGCTATCTCGCCAGATCTGTATGGCCAAACTGCGTTAATTGGAATTATTATGTCATAATTAACTTGCATTGATATGCGTGTATTAATATTATAATGTCATAATGTATAGATAGATAGATAAATAGACAAAGATAGTTGAATAGGTAAACAGACAAACACATAGACAAACAGATAGATTAAAAAACGCAAACAAAATTTTTTAAAATAATCTTTGAATGAATATTTTCATTCACTAATTATTTACATTTTCCCTAATTTTACTTACTGACTTGACTGATAATGGCAGATTTATCATAATACTCCCTCAAATGTCTAATTAGGTAGGACCCAAGACCTGAACCCGTGCCCCCGGCTAAACTCATCATGGATAAAAATCCTCCTAATCTGTTAGGGAAAGAATAAAAATAATTTGAAATTAGGGTTAATTATAATTAATAACAATAATATTATTATTTATACCTGTCACATTTTTCAACTTGATGCCTAATTAGCTCATCTAATGAATCAACAACTTTAGCACCAAATGAATAAAAACCCTGAGCCCAATTATTTCCAGAGCCATATTTATGTGAAATCTTATAAAAAAAAATAATTTACTTGTTAATTAATTAATTAAAATTTATTTGATACAAATTTTTATACAAATAATAAATCATATCTTACCTTAAACTTTTTGTTGTAAGACCATGTTTTGTTCAGCATATCAGATGACACCGAGATTGATGACAATGACGATGACAAAACTCTATCGACAACTTTTGCTTCCGTATCAATCAATACGCACCTAGCGACGTAACTATTCCTATTTTTGGCACTATTTTGAAAAAATATATCTAAGCCATCTTCTTCGAAACTATCTTTTAGAATTCGATTTTGATTTAATTTTATATTTTGTGCCGTTTTATTTTCAGTATCTTTATTTTTATTATCATTACAGTTTTCACTTTCGCAAAACAATTCCTTTGCTAGCGTTGAAAAAAATTCGTGTCCTATCTGATTTCCGTACTGGCCGATTTGAATCGTTACAACGGACATTTTGAAATTTAATTTTTTAATAATTCAAACAAAGACACAATTTTTGCTCCACAATTTTATCAACTTGTAGTTTAAAAAGGAATATTTCAATTTTATGTTTCATTTTTAAATGTTGTTAAAGTAAAACTTAACGTTACCATAGTAATCAACATAACGCAGGTGCTCGAACCAAAAAAACTAAGAAACTTATTAAAAAAGCGCATACTTCTTCACAGTTACACACACACACACACACACACACACACACGATCACTCACATACAAACTAACAAACAAACCATTTATCCAATCACACAAACGAACAAACACACATACGCATACAAACATATACACATGCCATATACACAAAATTAAATACTTACACACCTACAAAAACGCTTCAATAAAAACCATTTACATATAATCTAACATTTTAAAATTTAACATTAATTACATATATATATATATATATAGAGAGAGAGAGTATAGATACACACACATACACACACACTTACATAAACATAAATAAATATATAGAGAAAAAGTGAGAAAAAGAAAGAGAAACAGATAAAGAAAAAGACGAAGAGACAGACATAGACAGACAGACAGAGAGACAGACAGACAATAAAATACAATGAC